ACGAATCGGGGATGGGCCCGAAACCATGCCTGAACCACCTCTGCATGGTGGAACCGGACATTGTCCACACAATGACATAGGTGACCCCTTCACCTTGACAGGCCTGCTCAATTTCATTGAGAAACACAATGAGGTGTGCAGCGTGGTAGGATCCAAGTAATGGCCTACGTCCTACCACACCATCTACAGAGGTAGCTGACACATGGAGATGTTTCCCCCACGTTGTCCAGGCACTTGGACGGTCGCCCGTTGGCCGATGCGGTTCCGGCCGCAGCGCCGAGTTTTGGCCAGGTTGAAGCGGGCTTCGTCAACAAAGATATACTTGTGATGGTTCACAGCAGCATCACCCTCTAAAAATATATTTTGGTTAGTTATTTTTACATTATAGTTCCAATATGATATTGTGAAGTAGCATGTGCATCAAATAGTAACAGTAATACAGTATATAGTGCTGTACCTGAACATACTCGGCCCACAGTTGTTTCACCCGGTCGTTGTTTCTCTCAAAAGGCACCAGGTAAATGTGTTTTATAGATACCTGGTGCCTCTTCAAAAGGCAGGCGATTGTTGGTAGGCTGATGGATGCCACATTGGCAAAGGTGTCATCATTCTCCTCAATGGCCTGCTTTATTTCAGACAGCCGTATGTCATTCCTGGCCCTCACCATTTCCACCACTGCCCACTCCTGCTGGTCGATCCACACACGGCCACCACAATGGAGGTCTTCTGTCAATTCTGAGGGTAGAACAGAGCATTCTGAGGGTAGAACAGAGCATTCTGAGGGTAGAACAGAGCATTCTGAGGGTAGAACAGAGCATTCTGAGGGTAGAACAGAGCATACTGAGGGTAGAACAGAGCATTCTGAGGGTAGAACAGAGCATACTGAGGGTAGAACAGAGCATTCTGAGGGTAGAACAGAGCATACTGAGGGTAGAACAGAGCATTCTGAGGGTAGAACAGAGCATACTGAGGGTAGAACAGAGCATACTGAGGGTAGAACAGAGCATTCTGAGGGTAGAACAGAGCATTCTGAGGGTAGAACAGAGCATACTGAGGGTAGAACAGAGCATACTGTCAATAGATCATACTGTAAGAACACTAACATGTTTTGTGAATTGACATGCTTTACAATATGTAATTTACTGTAAATGTAATTGTAACGCATAGTGCATAAATCTGGAGACTTGCTTCTTTTGCCGAAATGTTCTCATGATCGAATTGACAGTTGATCTTTTCAGATTCGGGTGAACTAATCTGACATCCTCTGCCATGGTAAGGCCTCTGTTTACCACATGGTCAACGACGATGGCCTGGACGTCATTAGACACAACAGTTCCCTGCTATGTGCCTCCCTCTCGCTGATGTCAACCTCTTTGACGGGGCCCATGCCCACCTCTTTGATGGGGCCAATGCCCACCTCTTTGACGGGGCCCATGCCCACCTCTTTGATGGGGCCAATGCCCACCTCTTTGACCTCTTTGATGGCACTCATGCCCTCCTCTCTGACGGGCCCCTTGTCAACGACCTCTTTGATTTCTTCCTCTCCCTTGCTGTCTATCCTGCTCCATGTTGAAAGAAATTGCAAGTGTTCACACGCACCCTTTTATATGGTGACCGATTGTGGTTAGCACTATGTGAAATCAATTAGCAATAATGAGTAGTTATTATGTATGGTTATCATGTATCATACATATAATTTAGATGTTTATACTTTACAAACACACATTTTATTTTTGTAGTTATCAAAATCCATATATAGTAGACAAACCAGTTTAAGATCTATAGGTTTACCAAACGGTTAAGTGATTAACCATTAAGCGCAGTTGGGTTAAGTGATGGTCATATGTATTTAAACAAATGAGAAGAGAATCATATCAAAAGTATTGTGAGCATTGCATTGTTAAAGGCAATTACTTTATATGAAAGGTAAAGTACTTTTAGATTAAACACTGATTAGGTTTGGTGAAAAAGTTACTGTGTGGTTTTGTGTGTGGTACTTAGTCAATTGAAAATGTGCTTACAGTTTTGAAAAAACTTTTTGATTATCTGTTTCGAGTTGTGAGATTTTACCACATACTTGTGAAAATAGTACCAAAGCGATAAAAAACAACAACTGTAATTTGAGCGTCCCGGATTTACATTGACTATGTTACGTCTAGTCTATGAGACCAGGCTGGCTAGTTCAAAGATTTCAGTGCATTTGTTTAGACAATACCATGTTTTGGTCAGATGTATTCCAATGGAATCTTCATATCCTTCAACAAACTTTGATGTTGAGTGAAAAAAAATAAGAACCCTTATGAGGAAAACATATATTGCACCTGACACATAATCATTTCAATTTAAATATGACCAAACTTAACTTGTTTCTCAAATGCCTTTCAAGTGTCTTGAGCTGAGACTTACAACGTAATACTGGACAAATTATATTATGACTAATAGCTGAATTGCACAATTGTGTGGTCAAAGCTGATTTTGAAGCAAATATAGTTTGGACATTACGGCTACCAATGCTGGAGATACAGCTCAAGTAATTACTGCCCCCTTGTGGACCTTTATAGTCAACACTACATTGTCCAACCAGACAGTTCAATATCTATCAACCCAAAAAACTACAATCCAGGCCCTACAAATGTCACAATTCTTAGATACTAACATAGGGGTTTCCCAGAAATAATGATACAACCCAATATGACCAAACAATGTAATTATTTAATAATGATTTTGCCATACAAAACTTCTGTGCAAAAATCTTCCGAAATTACAAAGACAAGGCCTCTTGGTAAATCGAATATTATGCATGTAAACCTTTCTGATGAATACACTGTAATCCAAAAATGCTGTTTGAAAAAGACTGACCTAGAAAAAGGAACTGATCTAACATAAAACATTTTTAACAAAATAAAAACAGCACAAGAATGATATTCTGCCCAAGACAAAATAGCCAGTCCCAAGGTTCACAGTCTTGTGTTTAAGTGGTTTTGAACTGGTATATACACACACTTAAATTCATATAACATCAGAGGATACCTGTATAAAACTCCAGATACCTAGGTAGGTAAAACTGCTTTAGAAAAAGAAAGATATGTGTAGCTCAGTTGGTAGAGCATGGTGCTTGCAACGGCAGGGTTGTGGGTTCGATTCCCACGGGGGGCCAGTATGAAAAAAATGTATGCACTCACTGTAAGTCACTCTGGATAAGAGCGTCTGCTAAATGACTAAATTGTAAAAATAAGAGGGACGGTACATCTTGACACGTCTTAGAAAGGTCCAGGATAGCAGTACTCAAATGAACGTGGTCATCATACTTTATTGATACAAAATAAGGATGGGTTTAACATGACAGATGTTTATTATACCAAAGTAAGAATGGAAGGCAGGATTGTCCTCTTTCTGTACAGGCAAGCAGTGAGTCTTTGTACTAAGTAGTTGCATAGCAACAAACACTTTCAACGGAGGTGAAATATACTGTATTGTAGCTGCTTCTGTGAGCTGTCTGGTAAAACGTGGAAGGATATCAGATTCATACCTGTATTTTATCAAAATATTTTCGTCATTCATTCAGCCTATTGTCAGACATTATTATTAGATTGATCGCTTTGAGAAAGAAGTTGTGATGAACACGCGTATCAGTACTATTTCTTCATATCATAAAAAAATACAATAAATGGATAGATCAAAGACTACATAGCCAATGTAAGAGCCATATTGCATAGCTGCTATTAGCAGATCCATTGTAAGAGGATGACAGAGGGGAGGAGAGACATGGTCACAGATTGGAGAGAGAAGTATGGCTGGTAAAACACTCATCTGATTCAGTCCTAGTACCTATATATTTCTGAAATATGAATTGATAGAACCCTGTATTGAGGAGAGAGTCTAGTGGAGACACATAACTGTGGAGAGTGACACAGAGGGTATGAGTGCTATGTTATTGCATAGTGTTGTGTATGACAGGCGTCATCCAGTCCAACCAACACCACACCCTGCTGCAGTACAGGCCTCATCCAGTCTAACCAACACCACACCCTGCTGCAGAACATGGCCCCTCCAGTCCAACCAACAACACACCCTACTGCAGAACATGGCCCCTCCAGTTCAACAACAACACACCCTGCTGCAGAACAGAGTAGCTTCACTAAGAGTCTATCCAGGCAGGTAGAGTAGCTTCACTAAGAGTCTATCCAGGCATGTAGAGTAGCTTCACTAAGAGTCTATCCAGGCAGGTAGAGTAGCTTCACTAAGAGTCTATCCAGGCAGGTAGAGTAGCTTCACTAAGAGTCTATCCAGGCAGGTAGAGTAGCTTCACTAAGAGTCTATCCAGGCAGGTAGAGTAGCTTCACTAAGAGTCTATCCAGGCAGGTAGAGTAGCTTCACTAAGAGTCTATCCAGGCAGGTAGAGTAGCTTCACTAAGAGTCTATCCAGGCAGGTAGAGTAGCTTCACTAAGAGTCTATCCAGGCAGGTAGAGTAGACTCATTAAGAGTCTATCCAGGCAGGTAGAGTAGACTCATTAAGAGTCTATCCAGGCAGGTAGAGTAGACTCATTAACAGTCTATCCAGGCAGGTAGAGTAGACTCATTAAGAGTCTATCCAGGCAGGTAGAGTAGACTCATTAACAGTCTATCCAGGCAGGTAGAGTAGACTCATTAAGAGTCTATCCAGGCAGGTAGAGTAGACTCATTAAGAGTCTATCCAGGCAGGTAGAGTAGACTCATTAACAGTCTATCCAGGCAGGTAGAGTAGACTCATTAAGAGTCTATCCAGGCAGTTTGAGTTTCAGAATAGGAGGCAGGCCACGACTACTAGCTCTCTTATTTAAAAAGTTATTTTAATATAAATCTTTGCATCTCATTCATTCGGGGTTTACGTACATGTATTTACAAGTAGAGTAAAAAGTTGAAACAATAATTTTCTTACAAAAACAAAACAGGTAAAAGGAAACAAAGCATCAAATCAACCAGGTGAGATATTATATAGTACAGGTCTGTAGTGTATTTACAGGTCAGCGGTGATGATCGAGTCGCTGTACATGAGTCTGTTGGCGTCGGCCAGCAGCGTGGACGTGTGCGAGGGGTCCATCTGTTGCAAAGCCTTCTGGGACATGTGTCCGTACACCTGCATGGTACCGCCCCCTGGCAGGGTGGATATTGCCACGCAGTGCGACAGCAGTGGCGTGTTCGCGTCGTGATTGGACCCCGTGGATGGCACGCTGGCCACATGACCGGTGCTGGTGGAGCCGCTAGCACTGCTGGGAGATCTGCTCTTGGGCGGGGGGAGGTGTTGCACCACCCTGGGGGGGCCCTGGGCCTGGAAGTGGGCTGCAGGGAAGGCAGCATAGCCCGGGGGGATGGGGTACCCGTTGACAGGGATGAAGCATTGGTGTTGGTTCTGGGCCATGGGCGCTCCATGGGTCATAGGGGTCCAGCCTGCCATCTGGTGGCCTGGATGACCTGGCGCGGGCATCCCCTGGGCTGGGTAGAGGTAGCCTGCAGCGGTGGCGTAGCGTGGGTTGCTGAGGTTACTGACAGGGCTGGCGCTCAACGAGGTGGTCTGGGTGGTGGCGTTGCCCCCGCCTCCTGATGGGGTACTAGAACTGCCGTGGGATGACAGCCCCTCCCAGGCCCGGAGACGACCGTGGATATCCTTAAACCGCGGACGCCTCGCTGGGCCCTCCTGCCAGCACTCTGTCATCAGGCTGAACACCCTGGGGGGGCAGTCCTCTGGGCAGGGCAGCAGTTGGCGTTTCCTCACCATCTCCATGACCTCCTGGTTGCTGAAGCCGTAGTAGGGCTGCAGGCCGTAGCTGAAGATCTCCCACAGCACCACGCCAAAAGCCCAGATGTCTGACTCCGTCGTGAACTTCCCATAGGCCATGGACTCAGGAGGCATCCAGCGGATGGGGAGTAAAGCCTTGGGTTGGACCCTGGAATAATAATAATAATACATTTATAAGCTTTTTTCAAAACACCCAAAGTTACTTTCTATTCTAAAATTAATAAAAATCAGCTGGAACATCAAATCACACTAAACATTACAGCAATGACAAACTAACCAGGTGAGTCAACTAAACAAGGAAATATGCAATGAATGCACTGACTGTAAGACGCTCTGTATAAGGTTGCTAAATTACTAAAATGTTAAAATGTAAATATGCCTGTAGTAGGTGTACAGGGTTAGGGTCAGGTCTAGGGTTAGGGTCAGGGTCAGGGTCAGGGTCAGGTCTAGGGTTAGGGTCAGGGTAAGGGTTAGGGTCAGGTCTAGGGTTAGGGTCAGGTAGACAGGTAGCCATTTACAGTACCTGTAGTAGTCAGAGGCATAAATCTCTCGGGACAGACCCAGGTCAGATATCTTGACGTGGAGCCGTTCCCCCACTAGGATGTTACGGGCCGCCAGGTCCTTATGGACGAAGGAGTGACTGGCCAGGTACTCCATACCAGCAGCCACCTGGAATAGAGTAAAGTAGAATAGAATAGATCCTTTAGTGTCCATTTTTGTGAGCGACAGAAATGTGTATTATATCGCTTCTATTTCTTCTTCTTGGACTACGATCTCAACCCCCCAAACAAAGGTTGAGAGGACCAGGGTCAGCCATGGAGCAGAGCCCCTGGATGGAGAGCTGTGTTAAGTGCCTTGCTCAAAGGCCCAACAGTAGTAGATGATACAGTATTTATGGTAGCTACCTGGATGGCCAGGTGCAGGAAGTCTCCGTGGTCCAGGATGGACTTGACGGTCCCGTCCTCATCACTACTACAGCCCACGTCAGAGTGAGGAGAGCGCATGATGAGGAACTCATGGAGGTCCCCCTGGTTTAGGAACTCAAACAGCATGCAGACAGGCTGCTCCTGGGTCACTATCCCCAACAGACACACCACGTTGTGATGGTGCAGCTCAGCCATGACTGATGCCTCCTAGATATAGATAGATAAGTAGATAGGTACTTAAAAAAATATTGGCGGGGAAATTTCATGTCAAATGCCAAACAGCAGCAGACAAAAAACCTGACATAATGTCCAAGACGAAAAACTGAAAAACAGAATACCAAAAACCATAAGTACCATTAAAGATCACCAAAATATATAATCAGATAGCATCAGCGAGCATCAAATAGCATCGGAGCGCATCAGATAGCATCGGAGCGCATCAGATAGCATCAGAGGCACCAATTAAAGACAGCATCAATGGATACCATAACACAATAACAGTAGCTAACATCAGAGAGCATCAAAAGCACCAATCAAAGATAGCATAAATTACTACCACAACACAGTAACATTAATAATAACATGCCTGTTGGAAGTCCCCCCACTGGCCAGGGCTGGAGAAGTCCTTCAGGGTCTTGATGGCCACAAGCTGGGCATGCTCCATACCAGGCATGTACAGGTGGCCCTTGTAGATCTTACCAAATGCACATTCACCTAGCTCCTCCATGAAACGCACTGCGGATAGGGGGAGCTCCTTGGCCTTACTCTGGAGAGAGCGAGGGAGAGAGAAAGATGGAGAGAAGAAGAGAAAGATGGAGAGAAGAAGAGAGAGAAAGATGGAGAGAAGAGAGAGAGGGAGAGAGAAAGAGAGGGGGAGAAAGGGTTACATGCTGAAATTTCCAGTCAGCTTTATACACATATTCAGCACTCATAACTGTCTTGTATGTAGACAGACATTCAAACTTAACAGCTTACAATTGGTGCTCGTTATAATTTTAGGTAGGAAAAGTGCCTAATATAAGAGTGTATTGCCTGGAGACTTCATAATTATCTATTAGTCTGTATCCATTCTCTCCTCGCCTCAGCTCAACTCGTCAATAAATCACTTCAGCTCCAGACAGAAAAATGCATAAATATACCAACGCCAGCCTAGAATCTGGCAACACGCTCCCAACACAATCTGGCAACGTGCTCCCAACACAAACAATAAACCGTTAGTGCAGATTTCAGAAATTGCAGGTAATCAATTTTCTATGTAATTATTAATGTGGTATAAATGAGACCCATTAATAACAGAAGGTGAACATTGGTTTGAGGGATGACAGATAACTGTAATTATCAACCCAGCCGGGGACTGAACCATGAGAACTAGAGGGGAGCCAAGACCCATTGGGCACAAACTGGTTGACTCAACGTTGTTTCAACGTAATTTATCAACGTATTGTGACGTGGAATCTACATGGAAAATACATTGGATTTGAAAAAAGTAATCAATGGATGAGGAACTCAAAACTGTTGTTTTGAGGGTGAAATTTCAACCACAGGATTATGTCATCATGGAAACAATTTCAACATAGAATAACCTTGTATAAAATATGTTGAATTCAAAGGAGGTTGATGGCACCTTAATTGGGGAGGTCGGGCTCGTGGTAATGGCTGGAGCGGAAATAAGTGGTTTCCAGGTGTTTGATGCCATTCCATTCGCGCCGTTCCAGCCATTACTATGAGCCGTCCTTTCCTCAGCAGCCTCTACTGGTTGAATTTGTACCTTTAAAACAACGTCAGATCTTCAACTTATTTCCACTATCAGAAAATATACAATAGTCTGGGCAGCACCTCTTCCTGGAGAGTTGATCTAGGTACAGCTTAACTAAAAAAATAAAAAATGTAAGTCGCTCTTTTATTATTTTTTTATTTCACCTTTATTTAACCAGGTAAGCCAGTTGAGAACAAGTTCTCATTTACAACTGCGACCTGGCCAAGATAAAGCAAAGCAGTGCGATAAAAACAACAGAGTTACATATGGGGTAAAAAAAAACATAAGGTCATAAAATACAACAGAAAATATATATTCAGTGTGTGCAAATGTAGCAAGTTATGGAGGTAAGGCAATAAATAGGCTATAGTGCAAAATAATTACAATTAGTATTAACACTGGAATGCTAGATGTGCAAGAGATTATGTGCAAATAGAGATACTGGGGTGCAAAAGAGCAAAATAAATAACAATATAGGGATGAGGTAGTTGGGTGGGCTAATTTCAGATGGGCTGTGTACATGTGCAGTGATCGGTAAGGTGCTCTGACAACTGATGCTTAAAGTTAGTGAGGGAGATAAGAGTCTCCAGCTTCAGAGATTTTTGCAATTCGTTCCAGTCATTGGCAGCAGAGAACTGGAAGGAATGGTGTTGGCTTTGGGAATGACCAGTGAGCTATACCTGCTGGAGCGCAGACTACGGGTGGGTGCTGCTATGGTGACCAATGAGCTAAGATAAGGCGGGGATTTGCCTAGCAGTGATTTATAGATGGCCTGGAGCCAGTGGGTTTGACGACGAACATGTAGTGAGGACCAGCCAACAAGAGCGTACAGGTCACAGTGGTGGGTAGTGTATGGGGCTTTGGAGACAAAACGGATGGCACTGTGATAGACTACATCCAATTTGCTGAGTAGAGTGTTGGAGGCTATTTTGTAAATGACATTGCCGAAGTCAAGGATCGGTAGGACAGTCAGTTTTACGAGGGCATGTTTGGCAGCATGAGTGAAGGAGGCTTTTTTTGCGAAATAGGAAGCCGATTCTAGATTTAACTTTGGATTGGAGATTCTTAATGTGAGTCTGGAAGGAGAGTTTACAGTCTAACCAGACACCTAGGTATTTGTAGTTGTCCACATACTCTAGGTCAGACCCGTCGAGAGTGGTGATTCTAGTCGGGTGGGCGGGTGCCAGCAGCGTTCGATTGAAGAGCATGCATTTAGTTTTACTAGTGTTTAAGAGCAGTTGGAGGCTACTGAAGGAGTGTTGTATGTCATTGAAGCTCGTTAAGAGGTTTGTAAACACAGTGTCCAATGAAGGGCCAGATGTATACAAAATGGTGTCGTCTGCGTAGAGGTGGATCTGAGAGTCACCAGCACTCTGGGCTCTGGATAACAGCGTCTGCTAAATGACTAAAATGTAAAATTTGTCACTGACTACTACCAATGTGCTATAGTTAGAATGATTGTTGAGATATCTCCACTTAAAGAAAAAATAGATTCACTGTTGCTATCAAAGTCATTCCAAAGAAAGGTTTAACAGAGCAAATGAAATGTGACCATACTTTATCACTCATATAGCTCAGCTGGTAGAGCACGGCGCTTGTAACGCTAGGGTAGTGGGTTCGATCCCCGGGACCAACCATACACAAAAATGTATGCACGCATGACTGTAAGTCGCTTTGGATAAAAGCGTCTGCTAAATGGCATATTATATATAATCAATTATGCTATTTAGACCTATATAGCATTTTCAAAGTCATCAACAGCTATTGTTTAAATTCAACCCAGAATTCAACTAACAATAGACAATACAATAGGCCTAGGGTTTCCAGATCTGGTTGATTTAAAATGTGATGATATTTTGTGATATTGAATTGTGTTTTGTTGTCAACACAACCAAACATCAACATTTGAAAGATATTTATCTTCTGTGCCACTGACTTAGTCTGGTTTTAATTTAGGAAACTGTCAATCCCCCCTCCCTCAAACAAAAAGGTATGGACCGAACTCCAAAACTACACAACTTGTACGTGTAGAGCAATCCTGCCATCGCACATAGGGAATTGGGGTTGGGGTTAATTACATTTCAATTCCAGTCAATTCAGAAAGTAAACCAAATTCCAATTCCACATTTTCTTGGCCCAAAGTTTTAGAACACCTACTAATTTTTCTTTATTTTTACTATTTTCTACATTGTAGAATAATAGTGAAGACATCAAAACTATGAAATAACACATATGGAATCATGTAATAACCAAAAATGAGTTCAACAAATCAAAACACATTTTATATTTGAGATTCTTCAAATAGCCACCCTTTGCCTTGATGACAGCTTTGCAAACTCTTGGCATTCTCTCAACCAGCTTCATGAGGTAGTCACCTGGAATGCATTTCAATTAACAGGTGTGTCTTCTTAAAAGTTCATTTGTGGAATTTCTTTCCTTCTTAATGCGTTTGAGCCAATCAGTTGTGTTGTGACAAGGTAGGTGGGGTATACACAAGATAAACCTATTTGGTAAAAGACCAAGACCATATTATGGGAAGAACAGCTCAAATAAGCAAAGAGAAACGACAGTCCATCACTACTTTAAGATATGAAGGTCAGTCAATACGGAACACTTCAAGAACTTTGAAAGTATCTTCAAGTGCAGTTGCAAAAACCATCAAGCGCTATGATGAAGCTGGCTCTCATGAGGACCGCCACAGGAATGGAAGACCCAGAGTTACCTCTGCTGCAGAGGATAAGTTCATTAGAGTTACCAGCCTCAGAAATTGCAGCCCAAATAAATGCTTCACAGAGTTCAAGTAACAAACACATCTCAACATCAACTGTTCAAAGGAGACTGTGTGAAATCAGGCCTTCATGGTCGAGTTGCTGCAAATAAACCACTACTAAAGGACACCAATAAGAAGAAGAGACTTGCTTGGGCCAAGAAACACGAGCAATGGATATTAGACCAGTGGAAATTTGTCCTTTGGTCTGGAGTCCAAATTTGAGATTTTTGGTTCCAACCGCTGTGTCTTTGTGAGACACGGTGTGGGTGAACGGATGATCTCCGCATGTGTATTTCCCACCGTAAAGCATGGAGGAGGTGGTGTTATGGTGTGGGGGTGCTTTTCTGGTGACACTGTCTGTGATTTATTTTAACCAGCATGGCTACCACAGCATTATGCAGCAATACGCCATCCCATCTGGTTTGGGTTTAGTGGGACTATCATTTGTTTTTCAACAGGACAATGACCCAACACACCTCCAGGCTGTGTAAGGGCCATTTTACCAAGAAGGAGAGTGATGGAGTGCTGCATCAGATGACCTGGCCTCCACAATCCCCCGACCTCAACCCAATTGAGATGGTTTGGGATGAGTCGGACGGCAGAGTGAAGGAAAAGCAGCCAACAAGTGCTCAGCATATGTGGGAACTCCTTCAAGACTGTTGGAAAAGCATTCCAGGTGAAGCTGGTTGAGAGAATGCCAAAAGTGTGCAAAGCTGTCAAGGCAAAGGGTGGCTATTTGAAAAATCTCAAATATATTTTGATTTCTTTTTTTGGTTACTATATGATTCCATATGTGTATTATTTCATAGTTGATGTCTTCACTATTATACTACAATGTAGAAAATAGTAAAAACAAAGAAAAACCATTGAATGAGTATGTGTTCTAAAACTGTTGACCGTTAGTGTACTTCCTGAATTGACTTGAAATTAAAATGGAATGTTCATCTTCAATCATTAGTCAAATGCACTACAGTAAAGAGGACTTGATAGAGCTGGGACAATAATCCGAAAATTAATGACACCGACCGAACCGACAAGGGGAGGGGGGGGTTGTTACAAGGGGGCTCCGGCTAAGTCAGGACAGGAGGAGATATAAGGTGAAGGGAGGAGGAGATGAAAGATTCCAGGAACTCCCAAATGAAAAATTAAATTCCTGACAGAGGCCACAGTCAGCTAAGAGGGGGGGTTAGGGGATGGAAGGGGAGGACTGTTTGGGGGAGTGGGCTGGTTAGCAATGGAATGGTGGTGGGGGATGTTAATGTTATGAAAGGGGGACATATGTTTTTGGTTTGGGTTTCTCCCTCCCTCCCTGGGGCCAAACCAGGCTCATCCTCTCCTCGCAGCATGCCGGGCCGGGCGGGGCCAATGCTGTCATGAACAACAAACCCTAGGTGACCTGGAACAAGGCCTGGTGGATAGCAGTGACATTGAGGAGGAGGACAGGAGCGGTGGGGCAGATGTATTTAGGGATGACAGACAGACTCAGACAGTAGACACTGTATTGTTAGTGGTTGTAGTTTTTCTGTGACAGAAGGATACACTCTTCTAGATTCCCACAGGTCAATCTAAATCAGAGATGACAGGGACTTTGATGGGGACCACAACACTGGCCTGTCTGACAGAGCCAGTCCCCTACAGCTGTAGCTTTGATTGGCTATAACATCAGGGAGTAGACCTTTGTCTCACATAACACAGCCTGGATAACCTTCTAAACGAGATATGTCAGAAATAACATTATAAGAATGCAGTGTTGACTAATATGATCGGCAGGAGAATATGAATGAACTTATAGGCAAAATACTCATACTGTTGTCACACATTACAAAGAGCCCCAGTGAGAGAGAGAGAGAGAGAGAGAGAGAGAGAGAGAGAGAACGAAAGAGAGAGCGAGAAAGAGAGGAGACTTAGCTACATATTATACCTTGGGTTTGTAGTTGGTGAGCATGGACATCTCAACGTTCTGTCCCCTGACAGGTTTGGGCTGTCTGGGGGCTGGGGGGCGGGAAGCCTTCTGGTTGTTACGACACAAACAGATGAAGAAGAAGAGGAGTGCGATGGCCAGAGGGATGGCTATGCTCGGGACCAGGATGTACAGAATCTCCATGTTACTGCCCCCACGCTTCTCCTTATAATCTAGATGGGACACAGGGTTAATGTCAGGTCTTGGCAACCCAAACACTGTAAATACATTGTAAATTACTAACATAATGAACTCAGGTGGTACTGTCACTTATTGTTAAACAGACCATAACATAACAACTACTGTGTCTATTTGATAGGTCGCAGCACTGACTCTCAATAATAACAAAACAGTGAAAAGCATAACTGTGTGTTTATAAAGCCTTATAACCCAGCCTGGCACACTGCTAACACCCTCTCTCACCACAGATAGGGATGTCACTAGCGCTTATAAAACCTTAAACCCCCCCTATATCTCACCACAGACATTGATGTCACATAGCTCCATGCGGACCCCCTCGTCCAGCGTGAAACACCATGGTCCCTCCTGCTTGTTGCCGGGGTTACGGCAGTAGGAGTGTCCTCCGCTGAGCTCGGGGAAGCGCACTGCCAGGTAGGTGTGGCTGTGAGGGTACTGGGAGTTCCAAGGTTGGCACTGACGACCTGACTTGGTCTTACTGACTGTCCCGCGGTAGTCTGAACCACTGCTGTTGAAACACTTGTGGTCTGGTTAAAAGGGAGAAGAACATAAGAACATTGTTAGACAATTTGTATGTATAAGTGAGAGGGTTTTTATTTTATTGTTGATGGGCTTCACTCCAATATGCAGTGACATGTTAACATTAAAGTATATAGGTATTTTGTTAATGGACCCTATGGGTTCTAACAGAACAACTACACTGCTCCAAAAAATTAAGGGAACACTAAAATAACACATCCTAGATTTGAATGAATGAAATAATCTTATTAAATACTTTTTTCTTTACATAGTTGAATGTGCTGACAACAAAAATCACACAAAAATTATCAATGGAAATCAAATGTATCAACCCATGGAGGTCTGGATTTGGAGTCACCCTCAAAATTAAAGTGGAAAACCACACTACAGGCTGATCCAACTTTGATGTAATGTCCTTAAAACAAGTCAAAATGAGGCTCAGTAGTGTGTGTGGCCTCCACGTGCCTGTATGACCTCCCTACAACGCCTGGGCATGCTCCTGATGAGGTGGCGGATGGTCTCCTGAGGGATCTCCTCCCAGACCTGGACTAAAGCATCCGCCAACTCCTGGACAGTCTGTGGTGCAACGTGGCGTTGGTGGATGGAGCGAGACATGATGTCCCAGATGTGCTCAATTGGATTCAGGTCTGGGGAACGGGCGGGCCAGTCCATAGCATCAATGCCTTCCTCTTGCAGGAACTGCTGACACTCCAGCCACATGAGGTCTAGCATTGTCTTGCATTAGGAGGAACCCAGGGTCAACCGCACCAGCATATGGTCTCACAAGGGGTCTGAGGATCTCATCTCGGTACCTAATGGCAGTCAGGCTACCTCTGACGAGCACATGGATGGCTGTGTGGCCCCCCAAAGAAATGCCACCCCACACCATGACTGACCCACCGCCAAACCGGTCATGCTGGAGGATGTTGCAGGCAGCAGAACGTTCTCCACGGCATCTCCAGACTCTGTCACGTCTGTCACATGTGCTCAGTGTTGCTTTCATCTGTGAAGAGCACAGGGCGCCAGTGGCGAATTTGCCAATCTTGGTGTTCTCTGGCAAATGCCAAACGTCCTGCACGGTGTTGGGCTGTAAGCACCACCCCCACCTGTGGACGTCGGGCCCTCATACCACCCTCATGGAGTCTGTTTCTGACCATTTGAGCAGACACATGCACATTTGTGGCCTGCTGGAGGTCATTTTGCAGGGCTCTGGCAGTGCTCCTCCTGCTCCTCCTTGCACAAAGGCGGAGGTAGCAGTCCTGCTGCTGGGTTGTTGCCCTCCTACGGCCTCCTTCACGTCTCCTGATGTACTGGCCTGTCTCCTGGTAGCGCCTCCATGCTCTGGACACTACGCTGACAGACACAGCAAACCTTCTTGCCACAGCTCACATTGATGTGCCATCCTGGATGAGCTGCACTACCTGAGCCACTTGTGTGGGTTGTAGACTCCGTCTCATGCTACCACTAGAGTGAAAGCACTGTCAATCAGTGTTGCTTCCTAAGTGGACAGTTTGATTTCACAGAAGTGTGATTGACTTGGAGTTACATTGTGTTGTTTAAGTGTTCCCTTTATTTTTTTGAGCAGTGTATAATAGAAAACGCTGAGGTAGACAGTAAAAATAAGTAAAAAGTATCTTTCTCTAGTCGATCGTGTCTGATATGAAGATGTGCAATAGTCTTTGTGTACAGTATATAATTCCATATCCATCCAAATGATGCAAACTATTAATTTGATAGAACTCAAAGTCTATCCGCAATATTAAAGCTGATCTACCCCCCCCCCCCCCAAAAAAATAAAATAAAAATAAAATTCCAGTCTTACTCTTGTTGATGGGCTCGACCATGGGGATTCCGATCCTCATACAGATAGCAGCCTCTGGGCTGTCGTGTGCTGCCAGGTCCTCACAGTTAGGTAGCTTCAGTCTCTTCAGGATGATGGGGTTGGAACGGGCGATGATGTACTCGGTCTTACACAGGTCATTCTCTAGGATCTCACACTCATCCTTACACAGAGAGGACAGGAGGAGAGAGTTGAGGGTCATACAAACAATAAAAGCAACACAACATTTGAACACGTTAGCCTACCCCAGAAGGCAATTACTACTACTAAACTAGCTAAGGCCATTTCACACCAAATAAATGATTGGTTATATCTATTGACATGAATAGGTCTAGCTGTAGCTGCAGTTAAAAAAATATGTAATCAGTCAGCGGCTGTGTCTGAAATGGCATCCTATTCACTAAATAGTGCACTACTTTTGACCAGGAACCATAGGGAATAGGGTGCCATTTCGGCCACAGTCAGTGTTTAACGCTACAAGCCTAAATAGATGTAGGTATAGTCGTAGTTTTGAAGCATGTCATCATACCTTACACAGGTCCCTGGGCTTGTCTGCCCCAGAGCTGCGGTCACATGTCGGGAAGGCAAAGTGGCACAGAGACGGGATGGCGAACTGGGAGCAGCGGTCCGACAGGTGGTTGGACGTTCCGATCATGGTGAAGGCGGCTGGATGGGAAAAGTGGGAATGTGAATATATGGACATCAGATGTTGTCTGAAGTCTAGAAATACTTACTATAACTATGTGGAATATATTTAACCTTTATTTTCCCAGGAAGATCAAGAATCATACAGGGCAGTCATAACCACGCACACATTGCATACGTCAAAACTTTTGGGGAACATTGTCCGGTTCAGTCAGACACAGATCATGTCTGGTCCTGTAGTGAGTATCAGAGATCTAGGGTGCTATCAAGTAAAGGACTGTCTGTCTGTCTGTCTGTATTACAGTGCCTGTATGATACTGTGTTTTACAGGGAAAGTACAGTTACGTGCTCCACACAATCTCTGGGTTTCTGAGTTGGGACTGACAACCACAGACAGACAGTGGCAGCTCCATGTCAACTCATTCAACTTTGACCGGCTACATTCTACATAGTCAGAGAGAACACACACGCACACAAAAAGGCAGGCATGCACGCACAAAGGCATCTGTAGAGGTAAAATTGGATTCAGAGATGAGACACAAAGTGTAGACCATGTGTGTTCCATACTGTGTAGACCATGTGTGTTCCATACTGTGTAGATCATGTGTTTGTCTCTGTGAATGGTCTGTCCTCCGACAAATCAACTGTACATTTCGGTGTTCCTCAAGGTTCCGTTTTAGGACCACTATTGTTTTCACTATATATTTTACCTCTTGGGGATGTTATTCGAAAACATAATGTTAACTTTCACTGCTATGCGGATGACACACAGCTGTACATTTCAATGAAACATGGTGAAGCCCCAAAATTGCCCTCGCTAGAAGCCTGTGTTTCAGACATAAGGAAGTGGATGGCTGAAAACTTTTTACTTTTAAACTCGGACAAAACAGAGATGCTTGTTCTAGGTCCCAAGAAACAAAGAGATCTTCTGTTAAATCTGACAATTCATCTTGATGGTTGTAAAGTCGTCTCAAATAAAACTGTGAAGGACCTCGGCGTTACTCTTGACCCTGATCTCTCTTTTGACGAACATATCAAGACTGTTTCAAGGACAGCTTTTTTCCATCTACGTAACATTGCAAAAATCAGAAATTTTCTGTCCAAAAATGATGCAGAAAAATTAATCCATGCATTTGTTACTTCTAGGTTAGACTACTGCAATGCTCTATTTTCCGGCTACCCGGATAAAGCACTAAATAAACTTCAGTTAGTGCTAAATACGGCTGCTAGAATCCTGACTAGAACCAAGAAATTTGATCATATTACTCCAGTGCTAGCTTCCCTACACTGGCTTCCTGTTAAGGCAAGGGCTGATTTCAAGGTTTTACTGTTAACCTATAAAGCGTTACATGGGCTTGCTCCTACCTATCTTTCCGAGTTGGTCCTGCCGTACATACCAATACGTACGCTACGGTCACAAGACGCAGGCCTCCTAATTGTCCCTAGAATTTCTAAGCAAACAGCGGGAGGCAGGGCTTTCTCCTATAGATCTCCATTTTTATGGAACAGTCTGCCTACCCATGTGAGAGACGCAGACTCGGTCTCAACCTTTAAGTCTTTACTGAAGACTTATCTCTTCAGTAGGTCATATGATTGAGTGTAGTCTGGCCCAGGAGTGTGAAGGTGAACGGAAAGGCTCTGGAGCAACGAACAGCCCTTGCTGTCTCTGCCAGGCCGGTTCCCCTCTCCACTGGGGTTCTCTGCCTCTAACCCTGTTGCAGGGGCTGAGTCACTGGCTTGCTGGTGCTCTTTCATGCCGTCCCTGGGAGGGGTGCGTCACTTGAGTGGGTTGAGTTACTGACGTGATCTTCCTGTCTGGGTTGGCGCCCCCCCTTGGTTTGTGCTGTGGTGGAGACCTCTGTGGGCTATACTCGGCCTTGTCTCAGGATTGTAAGTTGGTGGTTGAGGATATCCCTCTAGTGGTGCGGGGGCTGTGCTTTGGCAGAGTGGGTGGGGTTATATCCTTCCTGTTTGGCCCTGTCCGGGGGTTTCTTCGGATGGGGCCACAGTGTCTCCGGACCGCTCCTGTCTCAGCCTCCAGTATTTATGCTGCAGTAGTTTATGTGTCGGGGGGCTGGGGTTAGTTGGTTATACCTGGAGTACTTCTCCTGTCTTATCCAGTGTCCTGTGTGAATTTAAGTATGCTCTCTCTAATTCTCTCGTTCTCTCTTTCTCTCTGAGAACCTGAGCCCTAGGACCATACGTCAGGACTACCGGGCATGATGACACCTTGCTGTCCCCAGTCCGCCTGGCCTTGCTGCTATTCCAGTTTCAACTGTTCTGCCTGCGGTTACGAAACCCCTACCTGTCCCAGACCTGCTGTTTTCAACTCTTAATGATCGGCTATGAAAAGCCAACTGAGAGACCTGAGCCCTAGGACCATACGTCGGGACTACCGGCCGTGGTGACTCCTTGCTGTCCCCAGTCCGCCTGGCCTTGCTGCTATTCCAGTTTCAACTGTTCTGCCTGCGGTTATGGAACCCCTACCTGTCCCAGACCTGCTGTTTTCAACTCTTAATGATCGGCTATGAAAAGCCAACTGAGATTTATTCCTGATTATTATTTGACCATGCTTGTCACTTATGAACATTTTTGAACATCTTGGCATGGTTCTGTTATAATCTTCACCCGGCACAGCCAGAAGAGGACTGGCCACCCCTCATAGCCTGGTTCCTCTCTAGGTTTCTTCCTAGGTTTTCGCCTTTCTAGGGAGTTTTTCCTAGCCACCGTGCTTCTACACCTGCATTACTAGCTGTTTGGGGTTTTAGGCTGGGTTTCTGTACAGCACTTCGAGATATTAGCTGATGTAAGAAGGGCTATATAAAATAAAATTGATTGATTGATTGATTGTTTCATACTGTGTAGATCATGTGTGCTCCATACTGTGTAGATCATGTGTGCTCCATACTGTGTAGATCATGTGTGTTCCATACTGTGTAGACCATGTGTGTTCCATACTGTGTAGATCATGTGTGTTCCATACTGTGTAGATCATGTGTGCTCCATACTGTGTAGATCATGTGTGCTCCATACTGTGTAGATCATGTGTGCTCCATACTGTGTAGATCATGTGTGCTCCATACTGTGTAGATCATGTGTGTTCTATACTGTGTAGATCATGTGTGCTCCATTCTGTGTAGATCATGTGTGCTCCATTCTGTGTAGATCATGTGTGCTCCATTCTGTGTAGATCATGTGTGTTCTATACTGTGTAGATCATGTGTGCTCCATTCTGTGTAGATCATGTGTGTTCTATACTGTGTAGATCATGTGTGTTCTATACTGTGTAGATCATGGGTGTTCTATACTGTGTAGATCATGTGTGTTCCATTCTGTGTAGATCATGTGTGTTCCATTCTGTGTAGATCATGTGTGTTCCGTACTGTGTAGATTATGTGTGTTCCGTACTGTGTAGATCATGTGTGTTCCGTACTGTGTAGATCATGTGTGCTCCATACTGTATAGATTATGTGTGTTCCGTACTGTGTAGATCATGTGTGTTCTATACTGTGTAGATCATGTGTGTTCCGTACTGTGTAGATCATGTGTGTTCCATACTGTGTAGATCATGTGTGCTCCATTCTGTGTAGATCATGTGTGCTCCATTCTGTGTAGATCATGTGTGTTCTATACTGTGTAGATCATGTGTGCTCCATTCTGTGTAGATCATGTGTGCTCCATTCTGTGTAGATCATGTGTGTTCTATACTGTGTAGACATGGTGTCTACTGTGTGATATGTGTGTTCTATACTGTGTAGATCATGTGTGTTCTATACTGTGTAGATCATGTGTGTTCCATTCTGTGTAGATCATGTGTGTTCCATACTGTGTAGATCATGTGTGTTCTATACTGTGTAGATCATGTGTGTTCTATACTGTGTAGATCATGTGTGTTCTATACTGTGTAGATCATGTGTGTTCTATACTGTGTAGATTATGTGTGTTCCATACTGTGTAGATCATGTGTGTTCTATACTGTGACTTTATCATCCTGAACTCCCTCTCACCCCTCAACCAGATATCCTCTATTCATCCTCACTGACAGTAATGACAAGCTACAGACTCAACCAGGGTCAGATGGGAGCACACACACACGTCTGGATTGAAATTGTCTGGTTTACACAGAATACCAAATCTGGAGCATGACCCTTATCCCTGTACTCCATGTCTGATTAAAATCAAAACACGAGGATGGAAGGGAAACACGAAACACACACAGGGAGGCAGCGTACCTGTGATCTGGGTCTCGATCTCGCCCTGCATCTGCAGCGAGTCAACGAAGATGCTACGGTTTCCTATGAAGCGAGAACAGGCCACTCCCCTGTACGGTTGGCAGAACCCCTCCTCATCAAAATCATCACTGTTAGAGAGAGATAGGTGGAGAGAGAGCGAGAGAGAGAGGGGAAGAAAGCGAGAGCGAGAGAGAGTGGGGAAGAGAGAGAGAGAGCGCGAGGGAGAGAGAATGAGTATACATTACAGTTAGAATTATGACCACTAGAGGGCACCACACATTACACAATAATAGGGATGTGGCAGTCTCTCATCTATATCTACACACACTGGAACAGAGAGTAGAGTTTCAGTCCTGTTCTAACATCTATTCAATTACTAACAAGCATCGGTCAATACAGAAGCCACTTTTTTTTTCAAAACTCTTCACACAGTCTGCATTACCAACATGCATCTTGGCCAAACAGTTATTCTCACCTCCAAAACTCACTCAAACCACCAAAACACTTAATACATGTCTCAAAATAAGCTTGTTTGACCATAACACTGGCAAAAATTCTCACTCAGAAAGCATACATTGTCACTCATAACACACTGACCTAAAAAACTAACAACTGGAAGCATTACATAAATGATTAACTTTTCTCTTTGAAGTTTGAATGATTTTTCACATAAAATCAGTATTTCATTATAGAATAAGAATAACACCTTTTCACTTTATTGACTGTACTAAAGTATATGTAACAAGAATGATTCAGAAATGCAGCAGTTTGCTTCAATAGCCCCCCCCCCCCCCCCCTTCCCGCCCCTATATCTTTGCATATAGTAATTTACTTCTGAAAAATAAAAAGTTGAAACAAAAAACAAAATCCTGAAATTCCAGGGCTGCAATAATAATTACAAAAAAACATCAACAACATGTATAGTATAATCCCTCATACTGTACAGTACTGCGAGGGTTCTAGTTCTCTCGCTCTCCTGCATTTGGCCACAAGTTCTCATCAACATCACATCTTATTTCTTCTCTGGCGATGCATCTTGGAAAGTATCTTCTGGGATGTCTAATCCAACCCTGGCAGTCTTCAGGAGAAGTGTCTCCACACCCCGCATTCATGGCATCCAGTAAGGACATCTGGTCATGTGGATGGTGGTCATAAACCTTCCACCTCCACGCAGAGAAAAACTCCTCTATGGGGTTTAGGAAGGGGGAGTATGGAGGCAGGAATAGTACTGACATCCTGGGATGTGGAGCAAACCAGTCTGTGACTGCAGCAGAGTGGTGGAATGCCACATTATCCCACACAACAACGAAGGTAGGGGAGTTTCTTGCTGCTCTCTCCTCCGCTGGCACAAGTCGATTATGCAGGGCACCCAGAAAAGAAATGAGCCTCTCTGTATTGTAGGGGCCAATGAGTGGTTTGTGTAACAGCAAACCATCATTGGACAGTGCTGCACACATTGTGATGTTAGCTCCTCTCTGGCCCGGGACATCCACGGTTGCTCTCTGTCCAATCACATTTCTTCCCATGCGGCGTGTTTTTGCCAGGTTGAATCCAGCTTCATCCACAAAGATGAATGTATGTGCAGTTTGCCTGGCTTCCTGTGACGAGTACTGAGGATACGAAGAGGCAGGACGCAGACGCAGGAATCAACAATGTAAAGGTTTACTTAACACTGAGCAAGAGAACAACAAAGAGCGAGTACACGACAAGACACTAACAATCACACACAACACAACACTGAACAGTCCAGGGCTATATAGAGGTGGTGATGAGATGATGAGGTGCAGGTGCGCTGGAGGTGATTAGGGTGCGTTGGGTTTCCATTCCGGTGTTGCCGAGGTGGTGCGCTCAGACCGGTGGCTCAGTAGACTGGCGAATCAGAGCGCCGGAGGGGAGCAACGGGAGGAGACGTGACACTTCCATCTCCATTACTCTCTAAAATACAGTAAATCCACAGTTGAACACTGCAGATTTGGTTGCACCCTTAAACCGGCCTCTCTCAAAGAGAGACCATGGTTTACAACATGGTCAATAATTGTGGCCCTTATCTCATCAGAGACCACCGCTCTTGGTCTTCCTCTCCTTTGTCCTCCACGCATTCTCCCTCTCCCTGCCACTCTTCTTTCCACACCAACCTGTCTTCCTTGATCCATGTTTCCAAACTAAATCATTCCGAAGCCGTCCTCTTTTGTCTGTTTGGTAACGAGACTAAAAACAGGACACTTGGGTAGGTTTTCAGCTGAAATTGCAATCAGCTGTGTTTGGAATGATTAAATATTCTGCTGAGATTTTCTATGTTTCAATCTGGTTACTGCAGAAATGCACAACATTTGCCATCATTCTGTTTTGAATGTGTTTTTAACAGTTTTGGAAACAGTGTGTTAGCATTTGAAAACATGTGCTGCAAATATATAGTTTTGCAGGTGGTGGAGTATGAATGAGAAAAGAGTTCATGGATTTCAGAGAATGTGGTCATTGAATGCATTTTGTGTGAAAACAATGAAAAATGATTCACAGTTTGGTCCACATACACTTCTGTTTCGCTGACTGTGTGAAGAATTTTGACAATGTGACTTCAGTTTTGACCAATGCATGTTAGCAATTTTAAAAAACTGTAACGTCACAGTCCTTCCCAGAGTAGAGATGTGAACTGTATACAGAGTTAAAGGTCGGCCGTTGTTTATGGGAGAAGGATGTCATCATGGACTTTACAATGAAACACGAGGAGCAGGGGCTCGGGAAATAAGCATGTGTGTATGTACATTTAGATTTTAGTCATTTAGCAGACGCTCTTATCCAGAGCGACTTACAGGAGCAATTAGGGTTAAGTGCCTTGCTTAAGGGCACATCGACAGATTTTTCACCTAGTCGGCTCGGGGATTAGAACCAGCGACCTTTCGGTTACAGGCACAACGCTCTTACCCACTAAGCTACCTGCCGCCCTATGTATGTATGTATGTATGTGTGTGTGTGTGTGTGTACAGTGAGGGAAAAAAGTATTTGATCCCCTGCTGATTTTGTACGTTTGCCCACTGACAAAGACATGATCAGTCTATAATTTTAATGGTAGGTTTATTTGAACAGTGAGAGACAGATTAACAACAAAAAAATCCAGAAAAACGCATGTCAAAAATGTTATAAATTGATTTGCATTTTAATGAGGGAAATAAGTATTTGACCCCCTCTCAATCAGAAAGATTTCTGGCTCACAGGTGTCTTTTATGCAGGTAACGAGCTGAGATTAGGAGCACACTCTTAAAGGGAGTGCTCCTAATCTCAGCTTGTTACCTGTATAAAAGACACCTGTCCACAGAAGCAATCAATCAATCAGATTCCAAACTCTCCACCATGGCCAAGACCAAAGAGCTCTCCATGCACGTCAGGGACAAGATTGTAGACCTACACAAGGCTGGAATGGGCTACAAGACCATCGCCAAGCAGCTTGGTGAGAAGGTGACAACAGTTGGTGCGATTATTCGCAAATGGAAGAAACACAAAATAACTGTCAATCTCCCTCGGCCTGGGGCTCCATGCAAGATCTCACCTCGTGGAGTTGCAATGATCATGAGAACGGTGAGGAATCAGCCCAGAACTACACAGGAGGATCTTGTCAATGATCTCAAGGCAGCTGGGACCATAGTCACCAAGAAAACAATTGGTAACACACTACGCCGTGAAGGACTGAAATCCTGCAGCGCCCGCAAGGTCCCCGTGCTCAAGAAAGCACATATACAGGCCCGTCTGAAGTTTGCCAATGAACATCTGAATGATTCAGAGGATAACTGGGTGAAAGTGTTGTGGTCAGATGAGACCAAAATGGAGCTCTTTGGCATCAACTCAACTCGCCGTGTTTGGAGGAGGAGGAATGCTGCCTATGACCCCAAGAACACCCTCCCCACCGTCAAACATGGAGGTGGAAACATTATGCTTTGGGGGTGTTTTTCTGCTAAGGGGACAGGCCAACATCACCGCATCAAAGGGACGATGGACGGGGCCATGTACCGTCAAATCTTGGGTGAGAACCTCCTTCCCTCAGCCAGGGCATTGAAAATGGGTCGCGGATGGGTATTCCAGCATGACAATGACCCAAAACACACGGCCAAGGCAACAAAGGAGTGGCTCAAGAAGAAGCACATTAAGGTCCTGGAGTGGCCTAGCCAGTCTCCAGACCTTAATCCCATAGAAAATCTGTGGAGGGAGCTGAAGGTTCGAGTTGCCAAACGTCAGCCTCGAAACCTTAATGACTTGGAGAAGATCTGCAAAGAGGAGTGGGACAAAATCCCTCCTGAGATGTGTGCAAACCTGGTGGCCAACTATAAGAAACATCTGACCTCTGTGATTGCCAACAAGGGTTTTGCCACCAAGTACTAAGTCATGTTTTGCAGAGGGGTCAAATGCTTATTTCTCTAATTCAAATGCAAATCAATTTGTAACATTTTTGACATTCGTTTTTCTGGATTTTTTTGTTTTTATTCTGTCTCTCACTGTTCAAATAAACCTACCATTAAAATTATAGACTGATCATGTCTTTGTCAGTGGGCAAACGTACAAAATCAGCAGGGGATCAAATACTTTTTTCCCTCACTGTATGTGGACTGTTTAACTATACTTATGGGGACCAGAAGTCCCCACAAGAATAGTAAACAAACAAAGATTTGACCAACTGGGGACATGTGCTCTGTATGCGTGCATGTGTGTGGACACTGATGGAAACCATGAAAGGCCTACTAGGACATGAACTTTCACAGATAAACTCTGACACACACACGACTCACACGACTCACACGACTCACACGACTCACAGGAATCACACGACTCACAGAAATCACACGACTCACAGAGACGTCTTCTCACTATGACCTTATTCAGTCATGTGACTGAAGCCATGCCAGATGGAGACCATATAAGGGCGTATGACATCATGAGGCACACACATAACTATTATCATATTGTCACAGTAAGCACCCTGTCCTACATCCTCCTGCTTCATAACCACATGAACCACCCTGGAACATTATGGCTGAGTGGGGCAGATGCCCTGGAGCGGACTCATGTTACTCCAG